TGCTAGAACCGGATGTTTTAGGAACCTCTTTTGATTCTACCTTAGGCTTGGATGACAAAGCCTTATAACATTTCCTCTAATTTGATTTAAATGATGAAGTGATGGAAGAAAAATTACTTGCATTCCTTTTTCTCTTCAATTGCTTCTCAACATTCGAAGCAAGGTGAAGCAAATCTTCTAGCTCCATATGAGCCTGCAATTCGACAACATTAGAAATCTCCTTATTCAAACCATTAAGAAATCTAGTCATTGTAGCCTCACTATCTTCCTCGACATTTGCTCTAATCACGACCATTTCTATTTTTTTGCAGTACTCCTCAACACTCTTAGAACTTTGTGTAAGATTTTGAAGTCGATTGTACAACTCTCTATTGGTACAAATCTTCTTCTCATGATGGACTTCAAATCTCTCTATTCTTCAATAGTCCTCTCCCTATTTCTTTTCCACTTCTTCTTTGTATTATTCCACCAAGTAACAGCATAATCTTCAAAACAACAACGACAAGTTATAGTTTCTTGGATTTAATGTAGTTATTGCAATCAAATTGTAATGACCTAGAACTTAAAAGGAAATATAATCATAAATTGAATGTGAAAGTGAAATAATAAAGTTAGGGTTTATATTCCTCACACAATAATTTAGAATAACCAATAGGGCTATGGGAATGACCCTTCTAAAGGAACAAATAAAAAATCAAAGAAATAAATAGAAAGTAAACAACTAGGCATCCTATTTGCAACCCTCTTATGGATCGAGATCTGGATTTTAATCCTCTTGATCTGAAATATTTAATAAAAGCGTGAGTTATACTATCCCAGTAAGAATGTCACACTACTCACCGATACAGAAATGAAGGTTGGTAAAAATTATAAAAATAACTAATGGAGCTCTTAATTTAAGTAAATTCATGTATCATAAAGAAAATCATTTATTGCATACTTACCATGGCAAGATTTTCAAAAACTAACCTATAGAGATAATAACACAAAAATAACATAATCTCATATTCAATTAGCCAGAACAACAACTTTCTCATTTTTATTTGCTTACTGGTATCCCTGGAGGTCCATAGGGATGTCCCATTACGCATGAACCCATAACATAACTTATCAACTAACCAGCCGTCCCCACACCCCGTCTAGTATGAGCACCAAAAGTACAATCCCTCAATACCCCGTCCAGTATGAGGGTGAATCAGGCCGTCCCCATACCCTATCTGGTATGAGTGCCAAAAATATATTTCTTCGATATACCTTCCGGTATGAGGTAACGTTCACGGTAGGGTTCCCTATGTACCTGATCTATCCACTATCTCACAGGATATCCAATAAGACAACTGTTTTGTTCATTCACTTGACCAAAAAATTTTCCGTTTATATTTAATTTTCAATTTCACAATTCAATTGTAAATCACACAAGACAAACGGTACATGCATCAAGGAAATACAACTGAATCATCTTACCAATTTCAGTGTATTATCATGCATTTAAAACTGTAAAATCAAACAATCAGTTAAAACATGATGAACAGTGATAAATAACGGGTTCTAGCTCCATTAGTAACTTGTAATTAATTATTGAAAATTTCTAAATTACGTAAAATTTTGTATTATTTATAATTAGACTTTAATTCCATAATAGGAAGTAAGGTGAGGGATTCTTACCTGAATCGGTTTCTGAAACACTAAACTTTCAGCTGCGCCTAATGACGATCCTGAGTTCCCTAAATTTTCCTTTGGAGATTAAAACACGCTTCAAGCACCCAAAAATATCTTAAAACTCCAAAATCGATGTTAAAAAACTTTTTCAGTCAATTTTGGAATTCCGGCACGGTGGCACCGCCGTGCTCTGGCGGCAGTTTGCCTTGAACTAAGCATTTTTTGCTAGTTTTGGCCGATTTCAGCCAGTTTTATACTCATCTGTGCAAGAAAACACGTTAAGTAACCTCACTTGACCGAAAAAATCAGAAAACAAAAACTTACTTGTGGTGAAATTTTTCGGTGCAGCGGCTCCGCCGGCTTACCTTCGCGGTTCGGCATTTTTCTTCGGACAACATGTAGAAAATAGAATGGTGAATACAATGGTAGAAAAATCACATGAAATGAGAATCGGGAAGGGGCTCATCGGGGGCAGTTTTTGGTTTTTCCCGCGGTGCTACCACCAGATTTTACCAGCAATTTCTGACTCATCTGCTGGTCCTTTTAGTCCGATTTGGCAATAGGAGTGTTTGAAATTAAATTTCGAGCGAATGGAAAAATGTTTACCTTTCTTGGTGGTTGGAGGTGGCTCCGGCGCGGCGGCAAACGGTGGTCGGCTCCATTTTCCAGTGATTGGTTCTTCTTCTCTAGTGGGGGGTTGGCGGCTAGGGTTAGGGTTCGGTGTGAATTGAGATATTTATATTCATCTCTCTTTAGTCTAGACCGTTCATCGCATTTGATCTCAACCGTCTGATCGCGTTTAAAGAAAAAATGAATATGGACCGTTCATCGTAATTTGATCTAGATCGTACAATCGCATTTAAAGAGAGAACAAATCTTGACCGTTCATTGCATTTAATCGCGATCGTTCGATCGTGCCTGAGGAGGGAATGGATCTGGACTGCCCACGCACGTGTGAATAAATTCAGACCGTTCGATCGCGGACATGCAGATTGCCAACATGGCCTCCTATGTGGCACCGAGTCAGTGTGCCTTGCCATGCAGCGCGCTCCAGTTCGTCGGGGCTACTGACTGGACGATCCTATGTGGTACATTTTTCTTTAATTATATTTTGACCCTCTAGTTTCTGATTTTTCTTTCAAAAATACCCTCCGAATCCATATCTTCACCCTTTTTTTCTAAAATTATTTTCAATTTCATCCTCCACCTAATTTTTTTTAATTTTTACATTAAATAAAAATTTATAAGCATAAAAATTATATTTATA